ACCACCCCAGTGGCGTCCCTTCAGCGGCGGTGGCGAGGAGGGATGCTGCCCCAGGGCAAGGCGAGGGCTGGGGCCCCGTGTCCAGATGGAGGTCCCGTCCTGCCAGCTCGGACATCTGATCACAGCAGAGAAAAAAAAAAAAAGTGCCCGCGGCGTAAATGGTTTAGCATATTCCCCTTCTGCATCCTCATCCCTCTGCATCCTCATCCTCTTAGCGAAAGGTACCGCCGGGCACTCCCGGCAGGAACATCCTACCAGATGTGGCCAGAGTCCCATCGGGGTAGTTAGTGCCGTATCGCTTACGGGAGGGGATTAGAGAGCCTCCACTTAGAGTCGCGGTCCCCAAGGCCTCTCGGATTAGGCTATAATGCAGCAGGCTTTGCCTTTCGGGGGCTCAGATGGAGCCCTGACCCTCTTCATCCTCACTTTGCGAAAGCGCTAATGGCCGGGAGCTGGTGGTGGAGCCCGGGGCTGGGACTGTCCAGAGCCCGGATATAACACCCGGGCTGCCATGGGCCGTGCCAGGATCAGTCCTGGAGGGATCTCTTCAGAAACCTTAGCTATTCCCAAGGTGAGACCCAGCAGATGAGCTGGGCCAAGGACCTGTGGGTGACAGAGCATCCCTCCTCCCAGGACCCTGCATTTCCAGCATCTCTCCTTCAAAATAGGGGGGATCTCCCCTTCCTCCCCCCGCAGGGTGGTTCACCTTGCCCAGGGGCAGGGCAATGATTGGGGACACACACACATGTGGGTGTCCTGGGAGGTGCTCGGGGTGTCCCGCCTGCCTCTCTGAGCTCTGCAGACCCTGTGGGTGTCTCCCAGCCCCCCAGAGACTCAAAGAAAAGCCCCCCACCTTGCCCCAGTGTCTGCACAGCGGCTCGTCCAGGTGGGGTTCATCTTGGCCTTGCTTAAATCTCAATGTTGGGAGCCCAAACCAGGCTCCAGGGATGGAGGGAGCCTTCCTACCCCTGGGGCATCCCCTGGAGGGATGTGGCGATGGCCACCCACTCATTTCTCCTCCTCCTGGTCCTCTGTGCACATGGGAAAAATGGGGAAAACATAGGGAAAAAAACACCCTGTGTGTGCCTAGAGGTTCAAAATCACACCCGGAGAGCTGTGCCCTGGGTCTGGCTCTCCTCATGGTGGTGTGAGTCAGGAGTGTCTCCACCACAGGGCCAAGGCAACGAGTTTCAGTCCCCACTGGCCCAGAGCAGGTGAAGGAACCCAAGCCCCGGCCCCGGTTTGCCCCATCTGGGCAGAGAGATTTTGGGGGGAGCCGAGGGGTTACCCCAATATTCCCTCCACACAGAGACGGGGGGGCAATGTTCCCCCGAGCCCCCCCACGAGCTCAGCTGTGGCGGAGGCACCCAGGCAGCCCAGGAGCCCCACGGAGGGAGGGCAGCACCCCCCTCCCCCCCCCCGAAACCCCCCGACGCGGCCGCGCTCAGGTGGGGGATGCGACGGCGCGGTGTCGTGTGTGTGTGTGTGTCCCCCCGAGAGCGAGCCTTGTCCCCGTCAGGCGTGGGGCTGGGGGGGCCCCCAGAGTCCCCGAGCTGGCAACAGATGGCTGGAGGCAGCTTGCTGACACCTGCCCCTCCTCTCCACCCCTCTCCTGCCCTTCCCTTTCTTCTCCCCCCCTCGTTTTGTTCGAGTTCCCAACGCTTTGGGGGGAAGCCGGAGGGTCCCCCCCTTCCATGCTTCCCCCCCTTGGCCAAAGGGAGAAGGACCCCAGGGCAGAAAGATGCAGGGGGATGTGCTGGCCCCGGGGAGGACCAAGGGGTCCTTCAGGTGGAGGGATGATGCTGCAGAGTCTCTGCCCAGGAGTTTGGGGTACGGGGAGCCCTGCTGATGGCTGGATTTCCAGTACTCCCCCTGGCCTGGCCAGCTGGGTATGACCTTGGCAGGCTGCTGCCTCCCACCCTGATGCAGGAAGGCTCCATCAGACCAGCAGATACCCCCAAAAGTGCCCACCTCAGCCCTCTTTGCCCCCCCCTCCCCAGCTTGCTGCAACCAGGGGGGTCCTTCTGGATGCGGACGAAGTGCAGACGCTCCCCAGCATCACCTGAGTATCTCCAAGCACTGACCAGTCCTCCTTCAACCAAGGGGGTTCCTTCTGGATGTGGACAAAGTGCAGACGCTCCCCAGCATCACCTGAGTATCTCCAAGCACTGACCAGTCCCCCCTGTGCTACACCCACTACCGTGGCAGCAAATTGAGCCGGGGTGGGTGACCTTTCTCTGCAAGGTTTTGCCTCCGTTCACCCCAGAAATGGATGCTGGAAAAGCATTTTTCCAGCCCTGGGAGTGGGGCTGGTGGTGACTGTGGGGTGTAGGGGACCTGTGGGCAGGGGACATCACTGTCCATGTTGCCTGGGGCCACCGGGGTCCTTCTAGACCTTCTAGAGAGGTTTGACATCAAGGATGCTGCAGGGACGCGAATGGGCTGAGGGATGGAGAACCAGGAGGAGGAACTGGGTCCAGTGCCAGCACCCACCCACTGCCTCCCGACAGCTCCTCTCCAGGCTTTGGGATGGGCTGGAGCGAGGAGGAAGGTGCCCGGAGCATCCTCATCCCCCAACCAGGCTGTGCCCTGCCCCGTGCAAATGCCCCCCCCGCCATGAGAGCATCTACCAGCTGGCACAAGCCGCCTTGGCCAGGGCCCCGGGGCTGCCCCACAGCGCTTGAACCCACAGCTTAACCCCCTCCCCAGCTCCTGCAAACAGCCCCCACCGCACCCAAGGGCTGTGGGGCACGGGAGAGGAGCGATGCCCACGCTGCCGGGCAGGGAGCTGACGGAAGGGAACCGACCCTCACCCATCCCAGGTCCCCCCTGCACCCCCTCTTCCCCGCTTTCCCAGTGCATTTCTATAAATCAAGCTGTGGCATGCCCCCCCTCCCCTGCGGCGGGGTTTGGGGGTCACCTGTGACCCCTGGCAGATGGTGCGGGGACTCCCACCCCTTCTCCGGGAGCTGTTGCAGTCGGCCATCTGTCAGGCAGCTCCCAGCTCCCCGCTCCCGCCCCGGAGCTGCCGCGCAGCATCCTCACCCTGGGACCCGGGCTGCTGCCTGCCCTGCCAGAGCTGGGGGGGCACAGGCAGGAGAAGTGGGGGGCAAAAGGCTGCCCGGAGCTGGTGGTGGTCCTGCCCACCCAAATCTGGAATGGACCTTGGGGGGGGAAGAGGGAGATGGGGGTGAGGGTGGGGGAAATAATGGGATCCTGGTGCCTCTGGGGAGCTCTCGTTAGGGCTGGCATCGTCAGCAGGGATGGGGCTGGCGGGGGTCCTTGTCACCTCCCGAGAGTGGGGGGTCCTTTCCCCGGACCAGCTTGGGGGGCAGTGAATGGAGTTGCAGGGGGTGTCATCTTGGGGGTCCCGCTGCCCAAGGGGGCTCTGGATTTGTGTCCCCCCCCTCATTGTGCTGCTGAGAAAAGCACCTGGAGCCCTGAGCAGCCCCCGCTCTGGGCATGGGGTTGGGGGGTCTCTGGGGACGCGTGGCCCCCCAAGGAGGGCGCAGCTGGGAGAGGATGGAGGATGCACCTTCCGCAGACCCCAATTTCCTTGTGATGGCCCCCAAGGAGAGGCTGCCTCTGGGACAGAGACCCGGGGGCCCAGCAGCTCAGATGTCTCCTCAGTCCCTGAGTGGGGCAAAGCCTTGGGGCAGGACCCTCGGGGCAGGACCTTTGGGGCTCAGGGACATCAGGGAGCAAGGCTGATCCCACAGCACCCGGAGAAGCTGGGTGGGGGGGTGGATAGAGCAATTAGGGGACAAGTTTTGGTGCCACACTGGAGGGGTAAGTGGCACAGACAGTGTCACCGCCCCAGGCTGGCAGGAGCTTGCTTTTTCCAGTATCCCCACCCCTCTGCTGTCCCACACCAGTAGATCCAGGGCAGTGAGGGGCTCGACCTGGTAAGATGCCCCAGTCCTGGGGGGTCTTGGCTGTCCCCTGGGTTCCCCAAAGAACCAGTTCCTAGTGGGGTACCCTCCTATGGGGCACTAGTACCACCCTATGGCTGGGGGACAGGCTGCCTGTGGGGAATGGGAGGCTGCAGCCCCCCCAAACAGGGCTCCTGGAGGAGTAGGGGGGGGCACTATCACCGCAGAACAGGCTTTGCTCTGTGTCCATGTGTCCCCCCCTCCCCTGCCATTACCAGGGAGATCCGGGGCTGGAAGCTTGAGCCCCCCCTGCTACACCCCATGGTATGTGGGTAGATGTGGCCCTGGCAGCAGCTGGGGGTCCCAACACCCCCCAGCCAGTACCTGCCCTGTCCCTGGCACAGAAGTGGTGGGGAGGGGGGGACCATCACCCAGGAATGGGACACTTCTCCGTTCAGGGTCAGTATTTATTTCTCTCGGGGGTGCTCCTTTCCACTGCCAGCCCCCCACCTCCTTCCTCCTGCTCTTCTGCTGCCCCTGGGGGACACGACACTCGGTGGCACAGGGGGGTGCCGCAGCCGCAGCCTCCGTCCTCTCGCTGCCTCCGCGCAGGGTACGGCCACCGCCGTCCCCCCCGGCTCCCTCCAGTGCCCTGCGCTGGTCCCGGGGCACGGCCATCCACCTCCCACAGCCTGACCAGTCCTGCCCAGTGCTGTGGACCCCTGGTGTGGGGCAGCTCAGGGCCCCAGCGTGGGGCTGCGGTCACCCCCCGTCTTCCAGTCTCAGGATGAGATCACGTAGGCGGTGGCGATGTATTTCCTGCCGTTGCCGTAGGTGGACTTGGTCCAGGGGTAGGTCTGGATGCTCAGGCTGTAGCCACCCAGGCTCAGGTGACATCTGTGGGGACACAGCCTGGGTCATAGACCTGCTCTGGCCTGGGGAGCTCTAGATGTCCCCAACCAGCGCTGCTCCATTCCTGAGCCCCACAATGGCATCTCTGGGGTGCCCTTGGTGTCCCCAACCAGCGCTGCTCCATCCCTGAGCCCCACAATGGCATCTCTGGGGTGCCCTCAATGTCCCCAATCAATGCTGCTCCATCCCTGAGCCCCACACAGCATCTCTGGGGTGCCCTTGGTGTCTACAGATGAGCACTGCTCCACTCCTGAGCCCCACAACAGCATCTCTGGGGTTCTCTCAGTGTCCCCAACCAGCACTGCTCCATCCCTGAGCCCCACAGAGCATCTCTGGGGTGCCCTCAGTGTCCCCAACCAGCGCTGCTCCATCCCTGAGCCCCACAATGGCATCTCTGGGGTGTCCTTGGTGTTCCCAACCAGCGCTACTCCATCCCTGAGCCCCACACAGCATCTCTGGGGTGCCCTTGGTGTCTACAGATGAGCACTGCTCCACTCCTGAGCCCCACAACAGCATCTCCGGGGTGCCCTCAGTGTCCCCAACCAGCGCTGCTCCATCCCTGAGCCCCACAATGGCATCTCTGGGGTTCTCTCAGTGTCCCCAACCAGCACTGCTCCATCCCTGAGCCCCACAGAGCATCTCTGGGGTGCCCTCAGTGTCCCCAACCAGCGCTGCTCCATCCCTGAGCCCCACAATGGCATCTCTGGGGTGTCCTTGGTGTTCCCAACCAGCGCTACTCCATCCCTGAGCCCCACACAGCATCTCTGGGGTGCCCTTGGTGTCTACAGATGAGCACTGCTCCACTCCTGAGCCCCACAACAGCATCTCCGGGGTGCCCTCAGTGTCCCCAACCAGCGCTGCTCCATCCCTGAGCCCCACAATGGCATCTCTGGGGTTCTCTCAGTGTCCCCAACCAGCACTGCTCCATCCCTGAGCCCCACAGAGCATCTCTGGGGTGCCCTCAGTGTCCCCAACCAGCGCTGCTCCACCCCTGAGCCCCACACAGCATCTCTGGGGTGTCCTTGGTGTCCCCAACCAGCGCTACTCCATCCCTGAGCCCCACACAGCATCTCTGGGGTGCCCTTGGTGTCTACAGATGAGCACTGCTCCACTCCTGAGCCCCACAGTGGCATCTCTGGGGTGCCCTCAGTGTCCCCAACCAGCATTGCTCCACCCCTGAGCCCCACACAGCATCTCTGGGGTGCCCTCAATGTCCCCAACCAGCACTGCTCCATCCCTGAGCCCCACAATGGCATCTCTGGGGTGCCTTCAGTGTCCCCAACCAGCACTGCTCCACCCCTGGTCCCCACACAGCACCTCTGGGGTGCCCTTGGTGTCCCCAACCAGCACTGCTCCACCCCTGATCCCCACACAGCATCTCTGGGGTGCCCTCAGTGTCCCCAACCAGCACTGCTCCACCCTTGAGCCCCACATAGCACCTCTGGGGTGCCCTTGGTATCCCCAACCAGTGCTTCTCCATCCCCAGAGCTGTGTGGGGCTTGGGGACCCGCTCGGCTGCTGATGGGGCTCAGGAGGGCACTGCTGGCTGTGGGGCCAGAGGACAGACGGATGCAGACGGACACACGGTACTTACGCCCTCCCGGGACGCGCGATGAAGCACAAGGTGTAGAGGCCAAACTCAAACTCCGGGCTGGAGCCGATGAAGGCAGAGCCCACCTCCTTGTAGAAGCCGTCCCAGCTGAACTGCAGCCCCAGCACGTCGGGGTAGGTGTCCCACTAGAGAAAGAGGGTTTGGGGATCAGCCCCCCAGCCCCACTGGGCTCCAGGGGCCACAGGGCAGGGAATTCAAGCAAAGTCCATCTGCCCAAGGAGCCAGCATCCTCACGGCCTCTCCAGGGATGGATCCAGAGCAGCTTTCAGCTGGTCCGAGGGGCCACCAGACAGAGCCCCCCAACCTCAAAACTCCCCCTTTTGCCCATTTCATCATCTTTTCTGGACCTTCCCACCCTGCCTCCATCCCAGGGTCCACACAGGGAGCCAGAGGGGATATGAACATCTCTGGTGCCTCTGATTCACCCCATTTGGGGATGTGATTGATTTGGGATGTGGCTGATTCAGGTTGTGATAGATTTGGGGTGTTCCCAGCTGGTGCACAGCCGCAGACCCCCTGGGATCACTTACCGGCCCCTCGAAGTTGTGGCTGAAGTAGTTGACGGCGCCCTGCTTTTCCAGCAGGTAGAAGCGAATCCAGTTGTGAAATCCAGACACCTTCCCTTTTTTCACCTCCCCTAAACACAAGCGAGACCGTGGGGTGAGCACCCCCAGCTCAACACTGCCTGGAGCCCCCCCATCCCCCCCGGTGCAGGGTCTACCTGAGAAGACGTGCTCGAAGCCGCTGGAGTCCTGCTCGCCATCACCTCTGGAGTAGAGCCCAAACCACATCTCCTTCAAATCGGCGAGGAACTCCTGCTCGGAGCCGTAGCGATCTGCAGGGAAGGGGACACGAGGTGAGAGGTGTCCCAGGAGGGGGCTGGGGGTCTCCCACCCCTATCCCTCAGGAGCAACCCAGCTCAATTCTCCCATGTCCTGGTAGCCCTCTCCCATTCCCCTCCAGACTGCATCCTCCCAGTTCATCCCTCATCCCACTGGTCTCTCGTTTTGGGTCCCCAACCTGCGGGGACCACAGTCTCCACCCCAGGCAGCTCTGCCCTGCTCCACACTCACTTTTTTTGTGGAGGAAGGCGAAGAGTTTCTTCATGAGCTCGGTTTTCATCACCTCCCGGAGGAAGTTGTCCTGCTCCCTCAGCTCCTCAGCCGTCACCTCCTCCTCCCGGCCAGTGGCCCTCTGGTAGTTGTCCAGCAGTTTGATGAAGCTGGCGTAGGTGGGTTTGGAGAAAAGCTTCTCATTGACGTATTTGTAGAGCCTGGAGAGAGCAGATCCTGCAATCAGCCGGGAAGCAGAGGTCCCTTCCAAAACCAACCCTCCCTGGCTGGAGGGTCTCTGCCGTGCTGGCCCTTGGACATCCCCCCCGAGGACGCTGGTGCAGACTCACGGCAGCGGGGACCGGTCCTCCTGGTCACCCGTCTCATCGGGGGAGGCCTGGTACTGGGGGTTAATGGCGATGTCCGTGGGCTGGGCTTTGTTGTGATCCGCCTTGTAAAGCTGCTCCGAGACCTGCAGGAGCTCCTCATCGGTGATGGCATCACGGCTCCTGGAGAAACCCTCTGGAAGGAGAGGCAAGAGGTTGGCAAGAGCAGATAGCAGCTCCCAAAGCTGCAGATCAGCCACCCACAGAGAAGCGAGGGCGACGCAGCGTTGGGTGTTGCATCAGGATGTCACAATCCCGGGACACAGCAAGTCAAGGGGTGCAATGGTGGAGGGAGTGTCCCAACACACACCATGCCCTGGGGACAAGAGCCAGCCACTGGGCTGCAGCCATGGGAACCTTTCATTAAGCACTGGGCGAGCTGGGAAACATCAGTCCCTGTCTCCCAGGTGTAGAATCATGGAATCATCTCAGTTGGAAGGGCAGCGGGGACCGGTCCTCCTGGTCACCCGTCTCATCGGGGGAGGCCTGGTACTGGGGGTTAATGGCGATGTCCGTGGGCTGGGCTTTGTTGTGATCCGCCTTGTAAAGCTGCTCCGAGACCTGCAGGAGCTCCTCATCGGTGATGGCATCACGGCTCCTGGAGAAACCCTCTGGAAGGAGAGGCAAGAGGTTGGCAAGAGCAGATAGCAGCTCCCAAAGCTGCAGATCAGCCACCCACAGAGAAGCGAGGGCGACGCAGCGTTGGGTGTTGCATCAGGATGTCACAATCCCGGGACACAGCAAGTCAAGGGGTGCAATGGTGGAGGGAGTGTCCCAACACACACCATGCCCTGGGGACAAGAGCCAGCCACTGGGCTGCAGCCATGGGAACCTTTCATTAAGCACTGGGCGAGCTGGGAAGCATCAGTCCCTGTCTCCCAGGTGTACAATCATGGAATCGTCTCAGTTGGAAGGGACCTTTCAGCTCGTGGAGTCCAACCATCAACCCAGCACTGCCCAAACCACCACTGACCCACATCTCTCAGCACCACATCTGCCCGGCTTTTAAACACCTCCAGGGATGGCGACCCCACCCCTTCCCTGGGCAGCCTCTTCCAGTATTTGATAACCCTTTCAGTGAAGAAATGTTTCCATCCTAAACCTCCCCTGGTGCAACTTGAGGCCATTTCCCCTTCTATCACTTGTCGCTTGGGAGAAGTGACCGACCCCCAACTCTATACACCCTCCTTTCAGGGAGTTGTAGCAAGCGAGAAGGTCTCCCCTCAGCTTCCGCATGACATTGCTCTTTGAAACACCCTTCCATCTCCCATGTTTCAGGTCTGTGGTGACCAGGGGATGCAAAAACCAACTTGCCCCCATCCCTGGCTGCTTGGTACCGGCCCACATCCCCCAGCTCCAGGGGAGGGAGGTAACCCTGCTGGTGAACAGGCAATGGCTCTTGCTCCACCATGTGCTCCCCAGTGACACACCATGGTGTGGGGCGGTGGGCAATGAGGTGACACGGGCAGGAACAGGGACAGATACCAGTATGACACCCCGATGCCACCAACCCCCAGAGGAGCAAGCTGGGGTGAAGCTGGTGGGGTGGTTTATGGCCCTCGCTCAGGAGAGGAGCTACTCACCGCGGGTGCGAGCTGCGTCCTCGTCCCGTTCCTCACCTGCAGGGAAAGGAGAAGGAGCTCTGGGTGATGGAGACACGGGCTGGGGCTGCTCAGGACCACTCTGCCCTGGTCTGAGCGACATAGGACTCATTTATCTTCTAATGCCTGGGAGAACTGCACTTTTAAAATCCGCTGCTGTCTGAATTGGTGAAAATATGTACTTTATAGCCCACTATGGTGTGCAGGATTCAAGATCTCAGTGCTTCGAGGTGCGGGGATGAGGAGTGAGACCCGAGCACTCGCCCCAAGCTGCCAACAGGGTTATTCCATACCATGAACTGCACTTTCCATAGAAATTAGAAACTTTGCTGAGGAGATCTTTCTCTCTCCCCCTTGGTGGCTGCCACCCTGAGAACTTCTTGCCCCGGTGCCGGAGCCCTGAGCCCTTCCCTTCCTCCTGAAGCCCCAGCGCTCACAGGGTCCCACAGTGGCTGTCCCTGCTGGGGGGGACCAGCTTCTGCTGATGGGATGGGCTGGGGATGGTCCTTGTGTTGGTGTTGGGTATTATTAATATTAATTACATGGTTTTACTCTATTAAATCTATTTATATTTCAGCCCTTGTGTTTCCTTGTTTTTCCCCCGATTCCTCTTCCCGGGTGGGGAGGGGTCATTGCGTGAGAGAATAATTGTCTAAATGACAATAAATTGTTGTGGGTTCCTCAAACCATGACACACACGTATTGACGCAGGCTTGAAACCAATCCCTTTGCACCCCCCAGCCGGGTTCTGGGGGTGAGCGGCCCCCTCCCCCTGACTCCCCCACAGCTGGGAAGGATGCTCACCCTCTCGGCAGAGCCTGTAGTAATCCTCACAGCAGTTGTGGTACCGCTCGCACTCGTCGTTGCAGTGACACTCATCCTCTGGGCTGTAGGGCTCCTGGCACCGTCCCTTGCAGGAGTCAGGGGCCGTGTACAGGCCTTGGGGAGAGAGAAACAACAGAGTGGTCCTCAGGATGGACCCACCACCCTGTCCCAGCCACACATGACCCGGGAGCATCCTTCCTCCTGCCCACGCTCCTCTCCTGGGAAGGTCCTGAAGGACCAGGCTCCTGCCCCGGAGCTATTTGGGGTCCTTTGTCAGCATTCAGGGGTAGCATTTTGACTGGCTGAATCCTCAGGACCCATCTCCATGGGTCACTTCTCCTCGGCTGTGGACATCCACCACCACGCCAGGGCCACTTCACACCAGGAAACACATTCTCAGCCATTAATTGCCCCTTCTGATTCACCTCTCTAATGCCAGGCTTAGCAGGAGAGCCCCAGGTCCTACCATCCCCAGGCCGGAGGAGTGGTGCCACATTCCAGATGTCTTTGTTTGTGACCCGTCAGTCACTCTTTCTGCCATGCTGGGAAAACTGGGAGCTCCTTCCCCAGCTATTTAGATGTTAAATGTGTCGTCCAGCAAGTGCTTTATTACAGAGGGTGGCAAATCTAAAAATAACGCAGCAGCTCAAGCTGTGGTCAGAGTAGAGCAAGTGCCACGTCTCAGGAGGATGGTGGACACTTGCCGTCAAGTGAAGAGGGGCTGTAGGGGACAAGGATGTGGGGTTTGTCGAAGAGACTGACCAGAGACTGCGTGTTTAGGGAAGGTGCCTTATCCTCAGTTGTTGATGGGAGCAATGGGGTGTCCAGTTCTGGGCTCCCCAGTTCCAGAAGGACAGGGAACTGCTGGAGAGGGGACAGCAGAGGCTACAAAGGTGATTAAGGGCCTGGAGCATCTCTCTTAGGAGGAGAGGCTGAGGGGCTTGGGTCTGTTTAGTCTGGAGAAGAGAAGGCTGAGGGGGGATCTGATCAATGCCTACGAATACTTAAAGGGTGGGGGTCAGGAGGATGGGGCCAGTCTTTTTTCAGTGGTGCCCAGGGACAGGACAAGAGGAAATGGGCACGAAATTGTAAATAGGAAGTTCCATCTAAACATGAGGAGAAACTACTTTCCTTTGAGGGTGGCAGAGCCCTGGAAGAGGCTGCCCAGGGAGGTGGTGGAGTCTCCATCTCTGGAGACATTCAAAACCCTCCTGGACACATTCCTGTGCAACATGCTCAGGGTGGACTAGATGATCTCCAGAGGTCCCTTCCAACCCCATACCATTCTGTGATTCTGTAATGGGACAGCAGACAGCCCAGGCATGGCTTTCTGGGCATCCCTTTGCTCCAGCCAGGAAGGTGATCATCTCCAGGGACATGCTGAGAAGATGTGTCTCAACCCAGCTGCCTGTAAAGGGATCCCTGGAGGAAAGGGTGTTGCTTTCCCTTGCAACCCTACAATCACACAGCACCTTAAACACCACTGGGTCATCTGCCTTGATCTCCAGCAGGTGAAACACACCCTCGAGGCAACTCCTGACAGAGCAGCAACCAGAGTGACATCCAAGTGTTGGTCACACTTGATGGCTTGTCCCTACAACTGCATTGCTCGCTCTGCTGTCTGGCATTTCCCTCAAATTACTTGTGCTTTTCGGAACCCCATCACCAAGGTCCCACAGGTGCTGACGAGGTGGGAGAACCTCTTTGCCCCACCAGCCAACCCAGCCCAGGCTGGTGGACCGTGCTGTGAGGGGACACTGCTGACACCCATGTGGCTTCCAGCCACCAGGTCCTTTTCTGCAAACCCACTTTATAGCAAGAGGGGTGTTAGTGGGAAGGGGTTTCTCGAGATGCTCCTGGAGGCCACCAGCCCTTGGTGCTACTTCAGTCCCATTTTTGCTCCTGGGAGGGGCTGCAGAGGGAAGGATCATTCCATGGTTTGGGTGGCGAGTGATGCTCATGGTGTCCAGACGCCCCCAGTCTCCCCAGTCAACTCAGCACAGGAGCTGGGTCTGGAGCTCCGATGGTGCTGGCAGCCGAGATCCCTGTCCTTGGGATGGATCCCTCTGATTCCTGCAGCCTCAGCCAGGATAAATGATCCTGAATCACGCATCCAGGCTCGTTTTCCAGCAGCAATCCCCGAGCTATTGTGCAAGGCAGAAATTGCCCACACATCAGTCACCGCTGAGACCTTCCCGGTCCTGGGGCACGTGCTGCCAGAGCATGTCCCAGCAAAGCCCCGATACCGGGGTGTGCAGTGACTCAGGCGAGGATGGGAGCTTTGCAGAGGAGGCTCCGCATCGCACCGTTGCCCGAGGGGCTCAGCTGTGGGCTGCCGAGGCTTCTCCACCATCCAAGGGACCATGGCCAACACAGAAGGACATGGCCAGCGACGCTTAAATACTCACTCGATACTCTGGCCGGTCCAGCCAGCGGATATTTTCTGGCTGCACAAAAGCCAGACAAATATTTCTCATTTTCAGCCCTTCAGCCAGATCCATCCCTCCCCCGAACACAGTTTTTTTGGACAAGAACAAGCTCCTTTTCGTTTCTGCCAAGAAGAGCCTCGACCCAGAAAGCGCGGGGCCGTTTCCTGAGCGGCTCCATTCGCCAAGGTGTGGGGAAACGTCCCAGACGTGACGGAGCCCTCCCGGCAAATCTCATCCCCGTTCAGTGCACGGACACAAAATTAGGGCTCCTCTCAGAGCCTCAGTCCCTGGCCTGACTCAAAACCTCACTGCACTGTGCAAACACAGACCCAAGACCAACCCTGACTCTAAAAGAGCCCGTTTGAAGGACAAATTAACCTGCGACAAAAGAGCTATTGATGGCCTGAGCTCCCAAAACATTTATTTACATGCTCCTGGCCCCTGAAACCACATGTAACTGTGGGTGCAAACTGTCTGTGGATAATCAGGCAAAAATCTCCCACTGCTGTCCTGCCCAGCCCAGGATAAGACAAGTGATTACACGGTGAAGGTGTCTGAGCTCAGACAGGTCCATCGGGGTGATGCTCTGGTAGCTCTGGTCCCACACGTATGCCAAGGAGAGACCACGACACCAGCCAGAGAAGCCGCCCACCTTCCCAGCCACGGTGAACCCAGTGACACCTTCAAGCAAGAATAACTTGGCACTTGCATTGAAGAAATTGAGATCACAGCAAATCCTCCTGCTGGATTTGGGAGCTGCTCTTCGGCCACCAGCCCCACAAAACTCCTCACCATTAATCCCGAGGGGATTCATCTGCCTCTGAAACACCAGCCCGTTGGCAGCCTCAGGAGGGATGAACTCCCATCTTGCAAATAGATCACGGTTCACCCTTAATGCAAGACGATGGCAAAGAGGGCACCTTAGTCACGCGCAGGATCCTGGTCATCCCAGAGCCAAACCCTGGTGCCCACAAGCCACTACTTGTCACAGCATCTGCCTCAAAGACAGCGCTACTCTTTATCATCTCCCCTGGCCTGTCTCCTCTCGTAACAACCGCAGAGTCCTGAAGGGCAAAACACCTGACTTCACATTTTGCATGACACCTGACTGGCCCCTCCACCCACAGGGGGAATTGGGGGTAAGGGATGAGAAAAATGCTTCCCTTCGTCCTCCCACAGTGTGGGAGGCTGGAGGAGGCAGAGGAAGGTGGTCTCACACAACCCATCTTGCAAATAGATCACGGTTCACATTTAGTGCAAGACGATGGCAAAGAGGGCACCTTAGTCACGCGCAGGATCCTGGTCATCCCAGAGCCAAACCCTGGTGCCCACAAGCCACTACTTGTCACAGCATCTGCCTCAAAGACAGCGCTACTCTTTATCATCTCCCCTGGCCTGTCTCCTCTCGTAACAACCGCAGAGTCCTGAAGGGCAAAACACCTGACTTCACATTTTGCATGACACCTGACTGGCCCCTCCACCCACAGGGGGAATTGGGGGTAAGGGATGAGAAAAATGCTTCCCTTCGTCCTCCCACAGTGTGGGAGGCTGGAGGAGGCAGAGGAAGGTGGTCTCACACAACCAGAACACAGCAAGATGCCCCAGGCAGCAACTGGTGGGGAAGCCTAAAGATGCAGGAGAAGCCTCAACCCATCCAAGAGAAGGATAAACCACCTTCACCACCAGCTGAGCCCCCCGGAGAGGGTGGAGAAAGCCCTCCACCACGAGAACATCCCTCAGCCCTGGAGGAAGCCCTCCACCACGAGAACATCCCTCAGCCTTTCCCCTCCAAAGCTCTGCCGGATCCAAACTGGCGAGGAACCAGCTTCCCCAGTACAGCCCATCTCCCGGCTGACGGCATCACCCTCAGCACCCTCCGCTTTCATCCCGGCGCTGGCCCCTTACCATCCGGGGCACCGGCGGGTTGAGCCCCTCTGCCAAAGCAAGGCTCCATTACTCACTGCCAGACGCGCAGCCCAGGGCTATTCCTGCCCCGACGAGGAGGATCCAGCTCTTCATCATCCCCGTAGACGTGGGGCTGGGCGTCCCGGAGCCTCCCGGAGAGCAGGTTGGCAATGACGTGGTTCCCCGGCACTCCCTGCTATATGTGGGTCCCTGGGGAGGTGGAGGTGTTTGGGGGG